CTACTTTCGAAAAACGTGTGTGTAATTTTTAATGTATCTTTAGGGAACTTCCAAACGCCAATTTTCCCTTCCTAAATTTTTGAGAATATTTAATTTAAGCTTCCGAGGCGTGTAAATATTTTCACATAGTGTATTCATTTTCTATTTTGTGTGCTTTAAGTTCAACGTTGTGTCCATCGACTTTAGTGTGAAGAAAAATCATTGCATATTTTCTGATCTGATGAGGGTTGAAAGCAAATGTCATTCCGATAGTGAAATGAGTCAATTTTCACTTTTCCTTGAATTGGGCTAATCTCATTTTTCCTTGAATGAGCTAATTTTTTAATAACCCCGTGTAAAATAATTTGCCTTGATGGAACCACTAAAAAACGAGAACCTAAGAAACGAGATCCTAAGATATTTTTTATCCTCAGTAAATTGTTGAAATTAAAATCACTTTTCTCTTTTCAAAAATGAAAGATGAAAAGTTTTGAATTTGAACTTTCGATATGCATGATATTTCCACGTGGCTTTTTCCACGTTCGTCTTTCTAATTAAACAAATAATTGACACTTTCGGATCTGAAACTAGGATTTAACTTATTTTCAGTGAATCACTTCCTGAAACTCTCATCAGGCCACAAACTATTCAGAAAGAAAGTTTCATTCCGAGAGTGACACGATTTTTTTCTTTTACTGCAAATTAAGAACCCAGTGTAAGATTATTTGACTTGATGGGTCCACTTTTGGAAAAAACGATTTCTAAGATATTAATTATCCTCAGCACATCTTCAGAATTGAAAGCACTGTTTTCGTATTTTGAAAAGAGAATGTTTCGAATTGGAACTTATTGCGAAGTACGTTATTTCCGCAAGCTTTTTTCATTTTCTTTTTAATTAAGCTGAAAATTTTGAATCTAAATTTACACTTCAATTTATCTTCTGGGGATTTCCGTTGTAAAAGCCTGTTTTTCTATCACTTTTTTCGTGCAAAAATTTTGAATATAAAATCGAGTTACGGGTATTTCCACGTGGTTCTTTGCTTGCTTGTCAAACTTTAACTGCAACTGTGGGTCCACTATGACAAACCTTAATGTGAAGAAGAAGAAAAAAAAAAAAAAGGAAACCCCACGGTTTTATTACACTTTCTTCCCTCAAGATTTTTTTTTATCTGAGCGTGGGGGTTGTCGTCGTCGTCGTCGAGTGTGTCCTCTCGAACCCATGATGATACCCGACGTCGGATCTGAAACTAGGATTTAACTTATTTTCAGTGAATCACTTCCTGAAACTCTCATCAGGCCACAAACTATTCAGAAAGAAAGTTTCATTCCGAGAGTGACACGATTTTTTTCTTTTACTGCAAATCAAGAACCCAGTGTAAGATTATTTGACTTGATGGGTCCACTTTTGGAAAAAACGATTTCTAAGATATTAATTATCCTCAGCACATCTTCAGAATTGAAAGCACTGTTTTCTTATTTTGAAAAGAGAATGTTTCGAATTGGAACTTATTGTGAAGTACGATATTTCCACAAGCTTTTTTCGTATTATTTTTAACGAAGCTGAAAATTTTGGATCTAAATTTCCACTTCAATTTATCTTCTGGGGATTTCCGTTGTAAAAGCCTGTTTTTCTATCACTTTTTTCGTGCAAAAATTTTGAATAGAAAATCTAGTTACGGGTATTTCCACGTGGTTCTTTGTTTGCTTGTCAAACTTTAACTGCAACTGTGGGTCCACTATGACAAACCTTAATGTGAAGAAGAAGAAAAAAAAAAAGGAAACCCCACGGTTTTATTACACTTTCTTCCCTCAAGATTTTTTTTTATCTGAGCGTGGGGGTTGTCGTCGTCGTCGTCGAGTGTGTCCTCTCGAACCCATGATGATACCCGACGGGTTGCTTTACGACCGAAAAGCTTTCTCGCCCCGGATGATGGGGATTCAGTTTCACTTCCCTTCTTTTTTTTGCCCCTCCCCCCAATACTGAACAAGTTCCGGTCTCGGAAGTTTTCATTCCACTGCACTTATAGCTTAGTTACTTAGTTAGCGAATGAGTGAGTGAGTGGTTCTGGTTTTTCCGGATCCCCGAATATACTGAGAACCGGATTCATTAAAAGCTCGCAACCGTCTTCATAAATGACGACATCCTCGAGGCGGGGACTGGGTTTCAATATATAAAATAAAATAAAAACAGAAAGTGAATTCGTTTTATTTTATTGAAAAAGAAAAAGTAATAGTGTAAGGCGGGGTTGTGAAACGGCTGATGGGGTGAGTTTTCTCTGGCTCGTCTGTTTCTTGCCCCTCAATTATTACGTCGCTTAGGTTATTATTTTTTGAGGGGGGGGGTGCTTCCGGTTTTTGGCCCCGAGTCCGCTTCCGGTGTGTCGACGTCGTCGGTGTCGAGGACTGCAGTTATTTGCCTCGGTGTCGCGAGGCTGATGCTCGTCAGTGTGTCGACTGGAGCCCTCGGGGCAACTTCCAGAGGTTCTTCGAGATACTGTATTTTAAACGAAAACGAGAGGAAGAAAAAAAAAAGGATATTGTATATTGGTGTTGGTGATGAGTTCTGATTTAGCTGAAGTCTCGAAATATTTATATTATATTTTTGGGAGTGTTTTGAGATTACTGACGAATTATTTTTTGCATAGAACCCGAATGGAAGCGTTGGAAAGGCATTTGAAAACTTTTTCCTGCGTTTTTTTTAAATTACTGTATTTTCAAAGTGCTCGAAAAATCTTGGGTGAACGTAAATTGTAATTTTAATGCTTGAAATGGTTTAGATTAGGTTCAGTATGTTGACTGGTGCCCTCGGGGCAACTTCCAGAGTTTTTTTAATACTGTATTTTAAACAAAACCAGAATAAGAATTTTTAAAAAATACCTGGTGTTAGTGATGGGTTCTGCTTAAGCTGAAGTCTCGAAATATTTAAAATTTATTTTTGGGAGTGTTTTGAGATTACTGACGAGTTATTTTTCGTATAGAATCCAAATGGAACCGTTAGAAAGGCATTTCAACTTTTTTTCTTGCGTTTTTTTTAAATTTTCAAAGTGCTCGAAAAATCTTGGGTGAAAGTAAATAATCATTTTAATGCTTGAAATGGTTTTGTTTAGCTTCAGTATGTTGACTGCAGCCCTCGGGGCAACTTCCAGAGCTTCTTTGAAGTACCGTATTTTAAACAAAAACGAGAAGAATAATTTTAAAAACAAGGACTGATGTATACTCGTGTTGGTGATTAGTTCTGCTTTAAGTGAAGTCTCGAAATATTTAAATTATATTTTTGGGAGTGTTTTGAGATTATTAACGAGGTTCTTTTCAGATTGAACCCGAATGGAAGCGTTAGAAGGGCATTTCAAAAAATTTCTTGCGTTATTTTTTATTATTAAAGTGCTCGAAGAATCTCGGGTGAAAGTAAATAATCATTTTGATGCTTGAAATGGCTTAGATTAGGTTCAATATGTCGACTGGAGCCCTCGGGGCAACTTCCAGAGCTTTTTTTTTAAATACTGTATTTTAAATAAAAACAAGAAGACGAAAGGGCTGTATGGTGGTGTTAGTGGTGAATTCTTTTTTTAGCTGAAGTCTTGAAATATTTTGGATGGATTTTTGAAAGTGCTCTGGAATTATGAACGAATCTTCTGTATACTCGACCCAAAAATGGAAGCGATGAAAAATATAACCCGCGCTGATTTAACTTCGCCGAAGAGCTCGGAAAATCTTTTGTGAAATTGAATCAGCATTTTTTAACGTTGAAAATGGGTTTGATTCGCACCAGTGTGTCAACTGAAGCCCTCGGGGCAAATTCCAAAAGTTTTAGGCATTTTGAATTATTTAAACCAAGGATGAAAATATGAAAAAGGTTTCTATATTTGTTGTCGATGATTTTTTTTGCTGGAGTCTTGAAATGTTTTGGATACATTTTGGAGAGTGTTCCCAAATTTTTTTATTCATTTTTTTGCCATCGAACCCGAATAAAAGCGTTGGAAAGGCATTTTAAAAATGCACCTCATCTTCGAAAGTGCTCTAAATTTTTTGTTTAACGTTAATTATGATTTTATCATTTAGATTGGTTTTGTTTCGCTTCAGTGTGTATTATGGGACCCTCGGGGCAATACTTCCAGAAATTCCTGCTCTTGAAAATATTTTTTAAGCGATGAGAAAAAAGGACTCTAATGGTGCATTCGATAAGTTATTTTCGGCCGAAGACTTGAATTATCTTGACAAGATTTGTATTAGTGTTCTGAATATTTTTCTTTTCGATGAGGCCAAATGGACGCTTCACGAAGACATTTTGAAAATGTTTCCGGCTTTGAGTTACCATCCTGAGGTTTTAAATTGGAATCATCACTCTCAATTTTTAGTATGGATTTCGATTCTCTTCTGTGTGACAATTTGATTCAAATAAGCAACTTTCAGGTTCGAGAAGTTCAAATACAGTACTTTGACAAAGAATGTGAAAAGCAGAAAAGTTTTTCAAGATGTCAATGGTAAATTATATTTCTCTAAACACTCTGAAGTCATAAAATATTCTAGGTAGATTTTTGCGATTGTTGTGATAGTTTATATGGCTTTTAGTTTCATCTTTTTTAATGGTTTAGGATCATTATTAGGACAGTTAAACAATGGAATCTGTGTTTAATTATTTTTCGAATTTCAAAATTAGTTATTTCTCAAGTTCTCTCCCAAAGTTTTGTTTCTGTGATGTTTCATTAGACAAGTGTTGTAAAAATATAACGCTAATAACGGAGATATCTTGCAGAATTATTCGTATCACCTTTCAAAAATGCAGAATATCTTCTCAAAGTAATTTTGCATCAAGGAAAAATGAAAATTTGGAAAAAAGTGATAAATCTCCATTCATCATTCAACTTCAAATTTATTAAAATTTCAGCAGTCTCCATTTTTTCCTTTTTAATGCTTCTTTACGCGATTCTTGCGTATCGTTGTTCATGTGAAAAATTTGGATTTTTTTTTTTACATAAACATAGAGGAAAAATTTGAGCTTAACAAAATATTTTTTATTATCCAGGATTTTGTTTGCCATAATGCTCGAGGGGAAGATGCGGCTTTTCTTGTGCATGCTAGCGGTGAGCGCTGTGGGAGCGACATCTAGTGAGAAGAGGCATTCCGGAGAAGACAACGACATCTATATCGACGATCACGCGAGTCTCGTCCGTTCTGGTCCAGCAGTAAGTCAATAATTTGCAGTTTTGCAAATAAGTTATTAGTGAACTTGAGTATTTTTGGTTTCACGAGCGCAGACTCTGGAACTAGTGCAACAGCAAAGCATATCAAGAGATGAGAGGTTTTATAATTGAGGCAAAACTTGGAAAATTAAGTGTTACCTCATTTTCGCTTTTTTTTCAAGTTGGCCGAGCTGTAGTATTATTTTCGTGTTGGTCTGAATTTTTGCACATTTATTTTAAAATTTCCCTGGCCCTGGCGTGGAAACTTTTTTTTTTGTTAAAAAAAACCGTTGAAAGTTTTCTATACTTTGTACTTCCCCGTATTTTAATTTTTCCAGTTTTGTTCTGAGAGGTTTTTCGAGGTACAGTAGTGGAAAAATAGCTTTAAAATCTTTAAATGTTTTATTTGCGCAAAAAGGATTTGTGAACTCTGAAAAAATACAAATACTGTATCGTGTAGAGTTTGTCGTTCAAGCAAAATGATTTTCCAGTAAAAACGAAGTTTACCAGTAGAAAAATGTGTGTATCGTTTTTTTTCTCTTTTTACAAAGGCAGCTAATTTAAATTTTGAGGTATTCCTTAAATTCTTAGAACAATAAGCAATGCTTCAGAATTGTTTCCCTCGCTGAGAGAAGAAAAAGTAGGGCACCATTTTAATTTTTAAATGTGAAAACGTTTATAAAATTTATTCATGAAAACTAAACTACAGTATTTCAGTAATGTGTCAATAAACCATTTCGAAAAGTATTTCAGAAAATTGTGGTGAAGTCTTTTCAACAAACAAACGAAATTGTTTATTGCTGAAACCTTCGTACAGTATTTTTAATTTTACCAGCAAAAAAAAAAGTATTGATTGGTTCAGTATCTGAGAAAATAATTACAAGAGTAACCATGGAAAATCGGGATGAAAATAATTTTTGTACTGATGACATTTTACTGTACAGTACTGTAACAAGATTTTTTTTCGACTGCGTCTATCGATTCTTTGAACAGGACCTTCAGGAAATATTGCCAGGATAAAAAATGCGTTATGGCTGCATTTTTGGTGAACGGAATAATCAACTGCATATTTTTAAAATCAGAATTCTGAAGAATACGCTGATGGACCTTCGCAATACGCCATCGCTTACGAGCCCCCGAGGTACAACTACAACTGGGCAGTGAACGACGACTATTCCAGCAACTACCAGCAAGTGGAAGAGGCCCGGGACGGGGAGCGAACCCACGGGTCCTACCGGGTGCTGCAACCCGACGGGGTTTACAGGACTGTGGTCTACAACGTCGACGGGGACCAGGGTTTCAACGCGGATGTCCGCTATCAAAGGGACTCTCATCACAACAGGGCTAAAGCCTATCGCCAAGAGTATGAAGAACAAAGTGGTTCCGAAGAAGCGCACGAAGGGGAAGGTTGGTCCAATTACATTTTTTTTTCATAAATTGTAATTCGATTTTTCCTGAATTTTTATGATGTTTTTTAAATATATATATATACTGTACTATACTTATTATATTCCTGCTTTATGTGTGGAAATTTCAAAGTTTTCGGAAGGAAAATACTGTACTCGAAACGTTTCGTGCAGAAAATATAAAATGCAGAAATCACTACCAAGAGTAAATCTTAATTCCGTTTCAAATTAATACGAATTTTATCTTCATTGTTGCTTTTTTTAAATTGTAATGCATTGTGTCTGATTGTGTTTTTTAAATCATTTGACATAGTCTGATCTTGACAAAGAATGATAGATTAAGCCATATTTAAAAATTTTCGAAATTGAATGGTGAGAAATAATTTTCAATTGAAGTCCTGTTGCCTGAAGGGGTTCACTTTGAGATATTTTGTGGACAAACGAATTGCGCGATTTCTTGAAGACAAATTATGGAAAGCCAGTTTTCAAAGCCAAAGTTTCACCTAGATTTAATCTCTTTGTAACAAACTTGAATTTGGACTCAAATATTTTTCTCACATTGAGATTTCCCTAAGGATACCTTTTTCAAAAATTCGATTTTATATCTCCAAGCCTATTTTATTTTTTATGATTAGCTGAATCTGAATATGTTATAGTGAAATCAAGTTTCCAAGTATCATAACAAATTATATCTGCAGAATAATATTCAGTGACCAAGTTTTTGAGCGAAAATACAATTTTCTTTCAGAAGTATAGTTTTGAATCCATTTATTGATTCCCTCTGTTGCTTCATTTTGAATATTACAGTATTTTGAATCAGATTTTTTTTTCGCATTTTGTTGACTTTTTTGATAGAAACAACTTTGAGCAAAATTCAAACATTATAATACAGTACCTGAACTTGAACCTGCAAAAATCACCACAAAATGTATATGTGTTATTTAATCGATAAAATCCTTATTGGAAGAATTTCTAGACACTTTTTCTGTACTGCGTTTCTGAGAAAATTTTGTTGACATAAAAAATGTGTCGAAGTGAAATTTTTTCTGTATTTACAGGGAGGATTGCCAGGAGCATTGTTTCCCAAGCTGTCACCCTGCCATTTGCCGCTTTCTCCAACTCTCCAGCTGGCAAAGAACACAACTTTGCAGACTACTTTCCATCCTTGCCAGGATCACNGACCCCCAGAGGGATACAAGAGCAACAACAACAACAACAACAACAATAAGAGACCAGTGGTCATCAAGCGCGTTGTTCCTTTGAGCCCATCCCTGTTCCAGTTTTACAAAGAAAAGTTGCCTGTGCTTGACTTCAGGAGTTTGCAATTTGGTCCAGCTGTGGCCCAACAACTGCAACAGGCCCAGGTTGAGCAACAGTCAGGTGCACCAAAGATCAAGCGACAAAATCAGGCTGTTGTGACACAGGGAAGGAACAGGTTCAACAGGGACGTTTTGCCTGTGCAAGGAGTCCCTGGTTTCCCACAATTTGAGGCACAACAACCACAACAACAACAGCAACAAGTGCCTCAATTTGCTCTGCAACAGCAGCAATTCCAACTGCTTCAACAGCAGCTGAGACAACAGCAACGGTTCCCACAATTGCAGCAAGGTCCTTTCAGGGTCCCACCTCAAGTTGCTGCTCAGTTCAGACAACCCTTTGGAGTCCCTTTCAACCCACAGGTTCGTCCAGTGACCCCAGCAAAGAGTGAGAAGAATGACAAGAATGAGAAGACTGAAAGTGTGAACTCAATTTCTGAGAATGACGAACAAATTGAGGTGAAGACTGTGGACTCTATCCAAGAGGTAATCAAGGCAATAAGGGAACAAGAAGAGAAGGAGGCTGCTGAAGAAGCTGCCAATCCACCATCTTTCACTCAGCAGCAATTGGCATTGTTCAGACCTGGTGCCAACCAGCCTGCCTTTGGATTCAATCCCTTCCTGCAACAGCCACAAGTTTTGCCTCAAGTTAATTTCAGGAACCCTGCAAACTTTCCATCTCAGTTTGCGGCAAATGCTGCCTTTATAGGACAACAACAACAACAACAACAGCAACAACAACAGGTGCAACAACAACGACAGCAACAACAGCTGCAACAACAACAGCAACAACAACAGCAGCAGCAGCAAATTCAGCAACAGCTGACCCAAGCCCTGCTGAGACAGCAAGTGCAGCCCACCAGAAATCGCCGACCTGCTGCTGTCAGTGCTGTTACCCAAAGACCTGTAAGGTCTCAAAATCGTCCAAGGTAAGAAAACTACTCTTGTGGGAAAATGAAATTCATTCAATATATATTCACAGTGCCTAATTTGTGCAATTGAAGTTATTGAAAATAACTAATAATATTGAATAATACTAATATTGAAAATATTAGAGGGCCAGTTTCTTTATTCAAAAGGAATAGCCGCATAATGACTCAGAAGTTCTGTCTTCCAGCTTGCGTTTTGCCTTGTCACTTTTCCATTTGCTTGCCACTTCTAGGTCTGCTTGTGTCCTTTGTGCTGCCAAATTGAGCGTTTGTAGCAGTAGCAAGATCGCATTTCAAGAAAATGCTCTTGGCAATTGTTATTCTCCAATGTATCTGCTTTGAATTGGGAATGCCTGGTGGATATAGGTCTAGAAATCAGCAGATGAAGAATTCCTTGATGTCCATGCATTTTTAAAGGCGGCGAATTTCGAG